TTTAATAATGACCAAAACCCAAAGCAATAAATGAGTTTACACTATAAAAAGAACTTTTGTTACATTCTACTATTTCATCACGCAATATAATGCACGCAAACCCTTAAAAATGAATATAAAATGAATATACCAAAATGCGCTCTGCTAAGTAAACGTTTAGCTGCAAAGATAAAGTTTTTTAGGCATCTTTATTACAATAACTGATTAAATATTTTTCTTTCGGCTTTATCACTCCTTTAGAAATAAATTTCTGCAGAGCAGCGGGTAGTTTGTCGGTACGGTAGAAATATATAAAGACATTTCCATGTTTAATCTACTTTTCTGCTTCTAAACTAAGGTAGGTGCTATTTACGAAAGAAAGTTCGTCGGCAGATAAAAGGTAAGATGAAGCATATCTATACACTAAGGGAAGTACCACTTCTACAACCAGGTGGCGAAAATTTTTTAATGCACTTTTATGCTTTATACTAGTTATTTAAATAAATTAAGTAAAAAATGTATTTATGTTTGGTTGGTTTGGTTTATTTAATTATAGCAAAGCACTCAAGGTCTACCTCCACAAGTGGATGAATGCCTTCTTAGAAGACTTTCTAAAGGAAACTCTCTCGTATACACGTTACACATGTTTTGGATAAACACTAAAACGCACATGCAGCCAGTCCGTTCGCCGGGATTCGAGCCCTGAACCGAACTGCCAATGTTTACCAGTTTTACCGCAACTCTACCGTTAAAAGTGACTAACAAAAACTCTCAATGCAAGAAGCGCAACGTAAACATAGAAAGTGACTGAGCGTACTATTGCAAATCTAATTGTCTCTCTTCGAGGACCATCACTTGCTTACTCCTGGGTGGTGAGCATTTATTGGCGTCTCCTTGAGCGCACTGCACCACCACCTCTTCCCTTTCAATCACTCTTCCCCTCTTCCCTACAGTATCTTACACCGACGACCGTTAAAAAGATGACCGATGACTGGTAATATATATGAGTATCGTTCTTGCTTTAATTACAAAATTCATTAAACCCCTCTCTTACTGATTTACGCGCAACATAAAGTATTTCAGAAAATGACTCCCATTTATTTTTAAGGCAATCCAAGTAAGTTTTTCCTTAAGATTTGTAGAGGCAGGAATTCTGCAGTACCCTAGCCAAATTTTTTGAGGGTCTTATCATTGAAAAATAATTGAGAATATATGAAAAAATTAACATGGTTAATCATTTAATAAAAGTAGAATAGTTTATCACTTGTAATGATAGATTGGCTTAGATAAAATATATTTTCTCTTAAGAAAACAAATATCGTTTTAAATGTTGATTGACTTCATAAAAGCATGCAAGGGCTACGAACCACCGAAAATGCACATGCTCTCGGCCAGTTCGCGCGAAGCCTTTTTGTCTATCATTATTCAGAGTTCCAATTCGCAGGACCTTTGTTGGTATCATCTTAACAAAAGAATTGGAAAGTTCTGGAAGGTTTTTTTTGTTTATTTTTATATGTTTTTATATGTTTATTTTTAGAATAATACACAGAATAAGAAATTACTTCAAGAATTATCTAATCTTGTTTAAACTTAGTAAAATATGCAGTTTGGGGCAAAATTAAGTTCATCATTGTATTAATCATGAATCCATCATTGTATTTCTTTTAAAATATATGGTAGAAGCAAACGATAGACTAAACGAATTAGATAAAATATTAGTCTAATCAATAGTGAAGAGGAAATTTATGCTTTGCAAAATCCATTTTGAGGCTGGACATAAAACTGGATACGTAATTTTATGGTAGCATTCTTTTGTTTTCGTAGCTGCTTTCTTCTGTTAATAAACAGTCATTCGATTATATTTCAAATACACATATGTTCTGTAATAGATACCAATGCTGGTTTCTTTGGTCACGCACACATTTTCTGCTCTTCCCCCCTTCAAGCAATCGTTTTTACTCTAGCCTCCATGGAAACATTGCAGTAATTTGCTAAAATCTTTAAAACTTAGAAAGAAGAATATTGAACATCTGTTTGGGATGTATGCATGTTACGATAATAAGCTTAACTATCCTTTTTTAAAATATTGTTTTTCTTTAACCTGCGTCACATTTTTGTGGCGCCAAACTGTTACCGATCTGTTAACTTCACAAGCCGGAAAACAAAGTCATATCCTTATTTAAATGTGATGGTGAAATATGGTGATGTAATTACTGTTCAGGTCTTTGTATTATTGAAAACAGTACGGGAGCTGCAGTCAATTACAACAGTAACGCATACCATATAAATTTCAATTTGAGATGGGTGTCAGCATGTTTAAAAAAATCTGGTAGTCATTCTGTTACATCTTAAAAATGCATGAGAAAATTATTTATATTGTCGTATTTCCAAGGAAGCCTATACGCACTCTGAAGAGCAAAAATATGTATATCTAGGGGAGTAACATAAAAAGTTGTCTAGAATCAGTTCCTGTTACAGAGCTATTTTAGATGATCCCCTGTACTAGAAGCATAATTACGGAGGAGGAAAAGTTTTCCTGAAATTTCATTAACAAATTTTTTTTCTCCCCACGAATGATTAGTTCACTTGTAACAAGTCCTAACTAACAAGCTCTTTTAATTTCTTTTGCCTCTTTCGTGTCCCTTCGTACTTCTATCACACAACTCGTTCTTTTCATAAAACTGTGTAGACTTTAAGTGGCAAGCGTCTATATAAAAGAAACTTAATCGAAACCGTACTGTATGAGCAAGAAAAGGGAGCAGAGCTTAGAATTTGATTTATTTGGTTTAATGAATGGCTGCTCGGTGAATCTTGGCATATATTGGTATATAAAGTCTAGTGGAACAGCTTGCCAGATGAAAAGCTGTTATTGAAATTTAAACTCTTTGCTATCGTCTCGGAAATTTTGTTCCTTTTAGATTAAACTGAATTGTGAATTCCTGGAGCTTAAATTTTATTGTATTTTTAATGTCAAGCAGACTGTTACTGTATATTATTTATTAATTAAGGCCTCAAGTAGAAGCCTGTAAAAGCTAATTTTCTTTAACAGTGTTTCTGCTTTGAATGAAGCCCGCTTCACTCCACTCCCTTCACAAAAACTCGTAACAAAAAACCCTTTGATAACTCTTTGGATTCGTGCATGTTGTAAGGTGATTTTTGTTATCGCAAGAAATTCAAGTTTAATATACACTGCTCGCCATTAAAATTGTAATACCATGAAAGAAAGCAAATACAAAAAGATATTTATTGAACGTAAGCAGTATGGCATGAAGACAAAATGATTAAATTTGTAAGTTTACACATGTCCGAAATCAGTAGAAACAGCTGCCACCCTTGCCAGCTAAAACGGTCCTTACCCTATTAGGCATTGCGTTAAATTGGGCGTGGATGACAGAAATGGGCACTCGTGCTGTTTCAAGTCTATGCCAAATTTCATCAAGCATATTAGCCGGAGAGGAATGGCGAACCAGTGTATTATCTTGTTGAAACATGGTGTTTGGAGGCGTTGAAGATAGGGGACAACCACTGGGCATAAGATATCAGAAATGTACACATCTGTGTTCAGATTACCGTCTACCCGAACTAGTGATGTGCGTGTTCGTGTACCCAATGGTTGTCCAAACCATCACACCAGATTCAGGGCCCCTATGCCAATATCCAGTGCAACCAGGTGACGTGCGGTCTCCTCGGACACTCAAGACACGTATATGGCCATCAGAATACAGCACGTAGATCCGAGACTCGTTTGAAAAGCCGACATTGTGCCACTCCTGTACCCAGCTTTGTCGTTTTGAGCACCAGAGTTGCCTTCTATGTCTATGCTGCATTGTCAAAGGAAGCCGAAGTAATGGTCAACTTGCTAACAGTCAACGCTGCTGCAAACGTAGACTCACCTTACGAGCTGATACTGGACGTGTTGGAAACATGCACATTTCCTGACAAATGGTCCGTGATGTGGTCGTACGGTTTTGCAGAGCTGACTTCGCAATATGTCTGTGCTCTCTGGCGTCAGTCATGGCGTTGAGATTCTGCATGCCGTTCAGTATGACGCTCAGCAATCCATTTATTCCATATTCGCATGACAGTGGTTAGATATCGACCAGTGCAACCGGCGATATCACGAAACAATAATCTACACTTTCGATAGGCAACGATCATGCCTCTATCGAATTTCGAAACTTTCTGGTAGCATCTCCTCTTCTTATTCGAGGCATAACATGATATTCTGAGCAAACTCCAACCTTATAAAGCACTTTGCGAATGAGAAATCCCACTACGCAGCTTTTATGCAGTGCTTCAGATGTCGTTTCTCCCTCCTGCGTCGTCTAAATGCGCTGAAATACTAATCATTTGCATATCCTACCTTCTTCTTTTCATGTGATTTTGATGTTTGTCAGATCATTCCTTCCTGGTGTTGCAATTTTGATGGCCAGCAGTGTAGGTGTCATACATTATTCTTCCTATAAGAATTCTTTGACTCCAACAAATTGACTCCGCTGTAAATCTTTACTTGCAAATATTGTAAAATCACTTAAATATTTAAGAAGATAAAACTCTCAATTACGCTGTTTTGCAACGTTACGATGATATTATTTAAAATGCCAATAATGAATTTGCAACAAATTTGATGTAACTTAACTCACAGTGATGAAAAATAAATTATGGTCAACTGTAGGATTTTCAGCTCCGTTTAGAAAAAGGAAATGTATTTTAAAATTTTTCCGTTTTCGAAAACAACGCATTAGTCGTATGATTAATATGTCTGGACCATTCTTTCTGATTCTGATATAAAATTGATACAATTATAACGAACAATAGAAAAGCAAAAGGATTTCCTCTCTATAAATATCAAGCTGTATGCAAATGAAAAACTAAATCTAAATCAAAGGATGCATATATTAAAATCGCTAGAAAAACTTTTTGAGGTGGTGTATTATTTGTACTGATTATAACTGATGTTGATTGTATTTTTACTGGTGATATCTAGTAAATGTTATATAAAATGAAAACGGTTTGCTTACCTACATTCATAGTTAAAGCACTTGCAGGGCCATTTAGCTGAAATATGTGAAAAGATGCAAAAATTACACAGATAAGCTCCTCCGACTTCATTTGACTTTATTATTATTTACCTACAAGAAAAATAATACTATTATAGTTAGATTTATTTGCCAAATGAACGCAAACACTTCTATAAGGAAGGAACGGGAACACTTTTATATGAGAAAAATAAACTTTTGCTACATATAATATTCATATTATATGTATCTATCAACATAAGAATATATACATAGGAAGAGGTAAAAGAAAAAATAATGCGCTGATAAAAATTTCTGTTTAAAACTTTCTGAGTAGCTACGGATGTTATGCATTATAAAGAGAACCAGTATTACAGAATTCGAGGCAGTTTAGAATTCAGGATAGGATTTCAAGAGTCAATAAAGCTTTCATTAATTAGCCAATTTCTGCGATAATGCATACAATGACTGCTCGACCTTCGATTCATTTAAGTATACAAGAGAAGCATTTTACTATGCTGCTTATATTTGCCGCTTCGCAATGACAGGCATTTTCGATTGCACTTGTTTGAAGCTCTGGTTCTTAAATTTTAGCTCTGACATTTTTCTTGATTTGTTCAACTGTGTGTGATTTATACACAGTCCGTCAGTCGTATCTTCTGATAATCAAGAAGAAGTCGAGAGTTAGGAGTGAACTTGTTGGGTTATTAATTTGAGAATTTTTAAAAATTTTCTCTCAGCCAAAGTCTTACTATGTTCGTTGTGGCAATACCTCATTTAAAGACAGTCACAGTGATAAGAGGATACTTCTTTTAAAGAGATATCCTCTAAGTAAAACGTATTGACCCTGATTATTATTAAGTAGGAAGTTATTGGTTGTGGTCGTAACTGTATGGGCTGTAGAATCCTACTGTTGAAATCACAGTTCAGAATAATTTTTCATTACAACATATAAAATATTTTCAGCCAAATGCCGATACCTCACAACGTGACTGTCACGGCACGACCACCCTTCTATTATTTTTATTCCTCCATGAAATTCAGTATTTTTACTCCTTGTTCATTCGTGAAATCATTATGAGGGATCTTAAACTCAGTTATAATATGTAGCCAGAGGGAAAAAGTAACTGTTAGCAACGATGTTATATCTTTTCTTGCTCTGAATCCTGCATTTATCATTATAATTTATCCTGTTATATCTTTTCTTGCACCTATCCTGCATTTTGTTCAATTGTTATCATTAATAGCTCTAAAAACCTATATTTTCTACGATTTATATTTCATGTTACAGTGCAAGCTTGTTTTATGTTTACTTCAAATCGCTTAATCAAATCGATTGATTGTTATTTAAACTCTACGGAAATGAAGCATTCTTTTAAGATTTGAAGAAAATTTTAAAAATGAAGACTTTGAATCTATCACAAACTTAGTACAATAATAATTATTTATTATAAACAACTGAAGGGTACCTACCTGTTTTCATGTTTTAGAATTCAAGGATTAGATTGCATTTAGATTATGATAAAGTACTGTACTCTAGGGCTATATACTTCAAGGGAGGGACTTTTAAAAGAAACTGACTCTTCTTAACGTCACACATAAGAAAAATTTCAAAACATCCCATTCAGACAACCCATTTGCCCGGATATGAACTCAAGACCAGTATTTGGCATTTTTACCTCTCAGCGACTGGTAGTCACTTTTGTGAAGATTGACTCATTTACATTATAAAAGTGAATATTTATTAACTTATTATAAACTCAATTTAACTCATTTTACGTTACTTCCCAAAACTACATTTTAATCGATTTTGACATGCTTGCTGGACTTTGGAATATAAAATAATTTCCCACATGGCGCTCTTGACATAAAAGAAAACGTTCAAAACAAGCTCTCGGACTACCTAAAAATCTAAAATTTGAGCTTAAAATACACCTTCGTTTTAAAATAAATTGAAATTCCATGGCCCACTTACAACGCTGACAATTTTAAAATGCTATACTTAATTTAAATGTACAGATAAATATGCACGGACAGTCATTGACATATTAGTGTTGAAAAATGTGTATTCCTCTGCGGCTGCGATAAGCAGAAACGGTAAAGTACATAAACTCTCAGAGAATCCACAAAAGATGGTGGTAAAGACTGTGTCTCCTCCCGATGGTGTCCGCCGATAACATCGCGGCAAAAACATCGCGGACGAAAACGTCGCGGACAAAACAACGCAAGGCGAAAACATCGTGCTACAAAACATCGTGGGAGAAAACATCGCAGTCCTAAAACATCGTGGAACAAAACATCGTCGTCGAAAATAAAGCGGTTAAAAAATTTCGCAGTTTAAAATCATCGCCGTCGAAAATATCGTGGTAAAAAATAAAGTATCTACAAATCATCGCATGACGATAACATCGCAGACCTGCTTTTTTCGGGCTTTAATAACTGTAAATAGAAATATGGTTCCCATAAGGATTTCTGAGCACAAGATGTAAAGAAGGATAATTTTTACTTTTACAGTAGTTTTTTATTGACAAATAAAGTTTTGCTGAAAAAGTAAGAATTAAACTTACCATAGAAAATAAGCATAGAAAATTAAATGCAACTTATAGATTATATTTTTCATGAAAAATTACGAGCAAAAACTTTATAAAAAATGATTTATTAATGGCCTTATAATTATTAATGGCCTTAATGGAACCGTGGCGGTTTAAAATTCTATTGAGTGCTATAAGTTGCATTAATTTTCTATGCTTAAGTTTCCTTCTTATTTTCTCAGCAAAATTTTATTAGTTAATAAAAAAAGGTACTTACGTATTTATCGCAACGAGGTTGGCGCGATTTGTAAGTTTGAGTAAAAAAGTATGACTAGAAAGAAAATGTACATTTATTAATTACAGATAATTTTTAATACAGTTTTTTATATTATTTTGTTTTAAAATATAAAATAGCAATTAAACCCTTCCGGTTTCGAATTTGAATAAGTTGCAGAATTATTTTTTCGGCGGAAATCTTTTGGCTATTGCTTTTAGCACTGATTGAAAACCGTCTTCGCCATTAACAGCTTGAGCTTGGCGCCATATAAATTCGATACGGTACGAGTCAAGATGATGACGGGCTGTTCCTCTCTGTTTTTTGTTGCGCCATTTGGCTGAGCCCCACATGCGCTCTACATGTTGTGTGTGAACGCCCGTGTTGGGATCCACAAAGTATGTTTGTGATTAACAGTTCCATGCAGAAATCCAGCATTTTCGAACTCACTTGTATTGTATCCTTTCCAGCAATCCGAATAAATGATGCTTCCTTCCTTGATATTTTCGCAAATTTTTTCCATGAGGGTAACGCGCTTCTGTTAGGTACAGTAACCAAAAAAGTCTCTTTCTTTCCCCGGCAAATTCGGCCGAAAACCCATTGCTGTGGTAGTACACGCCGAGTGTTATTTTTCTTTTTACAAATAAATTCTTTTTACAAAACTACGTATAACACGTAGGGTTGCCGTAAGTAGGGTCGCCAAATTTGGCGATTTATGCGAATTTTGGCCTGGTTGCGTTAATACGTAAGTACCTAAAAAAATATGAAAGTAAAAATTATCCTTCTTTCCATCTTGCGCTTACAAATCATTATGGGAATATCCATTTACAGTTATTAAAGCCTGTAAAAAGCATGTCTGCGATGTTATCGTCATGCGATGATTTGTAAATACTTTATTTTTTACCACGATATTTTCGACGACGATGTTTTTAAACTGCGAAGTTTTTGAACCGCTTTATTTTCGACGACGATGTTTTAGGACTGCGATGTTTTCTCCCACGATGTTTTGTAGCACGACGTTTTCGCATTGCGTTGTTTTCTCCTCGACGTTTTCGTCCACGATGTTTTTGCCGCGATGTTTTCGGCTGTAACCCCCCTCCCGATATACGTAGGTCATTCAGAAAGTTTGTTGCGCTACTGCGTAAATATGTTTCGTGTATGACTATTTGGATGAAACTCTGTGGCAACATTTCAGACATGTACCTTTATCGCGTGACGTAGCGGCTTCCCCCGAGGCAAGTTTAGTTTTTCTGATAATCAGTCGCAAACATGTCTTGAAAGCTGCAAATAGCGTCCAAACGCGTGCAGTGATTCATTTTTTGTGGGAAAAAAGGTGCAACTGCACTGAAATTTTGGGCAGTTGCATGAAGTGTATGGTGAAAATGCAATGTCACGTCAAGCTATCGCGAAATGGTGCAACATGTTTGAGAAAGGGCGTACAGATATTGACGACGCTGACCGCGAGGGAAGACCATTAACTGCAACAAATTCGGAAATCGCTGCTCGCGTGAATAAACGCATTCATGCAAACAGACGCATAACGATAGACGAAATCTCAATATTTCTCATGGAAGTGAGCATAAAATTATTGCTGATCACCTTAAAATTTCGTAAAGTTTGTGCTCGATGGATGCCACGTCTATTGACGGAGGAACATAAAGGAAAGCGTTTTGAAAGTGCATTTGCAATTGTGCAACGTTACCAAAAAGAAGGAAATTAGTTTTGGGACAAAACTATGACTGGAGATGAAACTTGGATTCACCACTTCTCACCTGAAACGAAACGCAGCCCGCTCGAGTGGAAACGTTGCAGTTCTCCGACACGAACAAAGTGTCGAACTTTTCCATCTGCAGGAAAGGTGATGACGTTGTTTTTCGACAGAGAAGGCGTGGTGCATACAGAGTTCATGTAAAAGGATGCCACAATTAATTCATCTTCTTATTGTGAAACACTAAAACGATTGCGGAAATCACTTAAAAATCGACGGCCACGTAAACTGTTGAAAGGCATTGTGTTCTTACATGACAATGCAAGACCGCGTGCAGCAAAACAAACGTGCGAACTTCTGAAAAAGTTTAGGTGGGAAGTGTGGAATCACCTTCTTTAAAGCCCAGACCTTTCAACTCCTGACTTCCATGTGTTTGGTCCCATGAAACAAGAACTTTCAAAGCGACGGTACCATTCGGATGCCGAAGTCAAAGCTGCAGCCTCAAAATGGTTATCGGACATTGGACGGGATTTCTTTGCAGATGGCATCAAAAAACTTGTACCATGCCTCGACAAATGCTTAAATAACGAAGGTAATTACGTTAAAAAGTTGATTTTGAATGGAACTTTAAGATGTAAATAAAGTTGTTGTAAAACTTTGTTCCTGTTTTGTTTTCTTAGGCAGTGCAACTAACTTTTTGACTGACCGTCGTAAGCCAAGACTGTGTGTCTTCTAAAAGCAGGTGAAGACAGTTTTCCTCTTGATGTGTCTTATCGACGTGGCCAACAGCCTCGAACTATTCCCTGGCGTGACGATTTCAGAGCATGGAAACCTGCAGTGGAATATAGCTATGCAAAACTAGATTGTAACAGGAATTTGGCATAATATCTAGGATAATTTACTACATCACCAAGTACCTGCCAGTCTGAATGAACGGTCAAATAGACTCAACTCATGTTGTACCATCAAGTACATTCATCTGTTATTCATCATACTGGAGTGTCACAGTCTGACATGATACTTTCATCAGTTTTGTTAAACTCAAGGAAAACACCCATTAAATCTAATGTTTTCAACATACAGCAAGTGTACTTACTCCTTTGGTAGGGTTCCCCGTTTTACAGTACTGCGTATAACTCTCAATAACCTTCGAAAATTAGTAAATTCCAAAGCACTTAAAAAGGGATGAGCACACAAGTTTGGATGATATATGTATCTAAACTAAAAATAGTATCGGAAAACTATACATAAATGTCCTTCTTAAAACATTTCCTTGCAAAATATTATGAAAGAATCATAAAACGCAGTTAGTATAGAGTGTGTATTCTTTTATAACTCATGTGCTAATTTCATAACTACTTAACGGATGCATTTATCATTAGCTAATTAAAGTACATCTGTAAGCTTGTTAACCTTAAATTATTAGCTATTGCTTGAAATTTTTCTAGCGGCTTTTATTCGTCTATCTGATACATATTTCTTTCAGTTTATATACATTCATATGAGTACGTCTTAAAATGTTACATAAATTATAGTTGAATGTTATTACATTACATCAAATTTAATGTTTTTTACTGTATCAACAGTTGCTTTTAAACATACAGAAGGTTCGCGCATTGCAGTGTGTTTCAAAACCCCACATTAGATTAGAAAAGTAATAACTAGCGGGCCATTAACAGAAAAAAATTGTGGTTTTTCATCTTTGATGCTGAATATAAACTGAAATTTTATTTCCATTATTTTACTCTCATTTACTTATTCTTCTCCAGAATACAAAAATTTATTCTAAATTTTAACGCTAAATGAGATTATGATACTAGGCTCATATACACCCAGGCTCTTCATAACTAGTGTTATTTATCTGTGAGTGTGTGTACGTTATATAAAGCAGCTTCATCGTACTTAGGAAACCAAAGAATTAACCACCTAATGGCTGCAGCAATCGCACAGCATTAAAACAAATATTCATTCTCGAAGTAAATAATATAGAACATTATAAATGTCCTTAATTAATTACAGTAATGGGGAAAATTTTCATAATTACCAGTTGAATCGTAGAGTAGATATATCGTAGAGTCTTAAAGCTTTTTGATGCAGAAGATGTGAAAATGTGCAGTGCCCTTGTCACGATTCGAACCTTGGTCTTCTCGAATACGCATTACACCAAGAAGACATGCGAAAAGGAGGGAGAATATACCTTATAACATTATAAACCAAATATATTTAAAATTATATGTTATGGCGTTAAAATGAAATAAAGCTTCAAGTTTCTTAAGAAATAAATGCGTTGCTCTTATATTCCTCAATTTATTAAGCAATTACAAATTCATTAAACTTGAAAGATATAAAGATCTTATGCTTTGGCTGAATGGCAGCCCTCTGAGAATTAACTGTCTGCAAAGCCCCTAGGAAGATAAATTAAAGGTTTCATATTTCGTACAATGACCAATTCACATAATTGATAACTGCATGGCAGCCTGACTTAAATAGCAACACTATATCATCTTTCGCGATTCATTGAATCTTCAAATTTAATGATATAGTGGATAAGATAGCTGAAAATTAGTAGTTCGGCCCCCATTCGGCTCATGGTGAATGGGCTCTCTAAATGTTTTTAAGTGTTTTGCATGTGCAATCGAAAAGTACAAGCCAACTTTTCCTTAAAAAATCCTCCACGAAGGCATCTGTTCTATGTTAGATTAGACAGTGTGCTTTGCCTTAACCAATCACACCTTTCAGGCAGAATTCGATGCAGAATAAAACTTAACATTTGCCACCTTATTAATGTACTGTAACTTTTGACGAAACCTAAGTATAAACAAAAATGTGAGATTATCGATTAATTTATATTGATGAGAAATATGTTAACAAGAAATGAAGACATAGTTTACTTTGTACTTAATCGACTATAATTCATAAGAAATGTTTTTATTTTGAAAAGTACAATTTGTTACATATGGATATCTCTTTTATTACTTTAAAATGTAACATATTTGTATTCGGAGTATTCCTTCTGAAAGTTACTTGCGTAAACTAAATATGTAAAATATGCTGTTGAGGGAATAGTTTAAAAGCTTTCGTTTAAAAGTAGTCTCGTTTGCTTCTAAAAATATATTTGTAAACTGATTACAAGCAAAACAAATATTAAGATTTCTGTTGTGATTTTAAAATACTATTGGAATATTTTCGTAACAATTTCCTTTTGATAATCTGCTTTATAGCTATTCGCCACTTTTAAAAATCACAATCTCACACTTTCTGTTAAGTATATAAAAATACACGGTTTAAACATGAGAAAAAAATGTAACTGAAACTGTCATTTCGTTTAGTCTGTCTGTTAGTTTTCGTCTCCGTAATTCAGTCGCGAATAAACGGACTTGAAACTTGAAATAAGAACTTAAGAACATGAGAACCTAAAACACACAATACATTCAAAATGAGAAAGGAAAATAATAGAAGTTAAAAACTTACTTAATTATACAGTACGTTCTAAATGAGATAATAAAATAACAGTAATAAAAAACTTACTAAATTATGTGATTCAAATCTTATTTTATTGCGACAACTTAAACTATTACGGCACTTTATGACCTCTCTTTTCGACTCTCGCCAGAGCATATCTGTGATTGTCGACAAACACCGGTGAGGGTCCGAATATACAAGAATGTAGTGAAATATTCGGTCTTTCACCGAAGTATTTGGTGAATGTTGATATTCTCCGGTGAAAGTCGACATTCTCCGGTGAAAGTCGACATTCTCCAATTTCGGTCTTTCACGGTAACATATATATCCCATCTTCCTAGCGTGCCTTCGTGGTGCAGTGGTCAGCACACTGAGCCGGTATTTCTGAGGTCCGTGGCTCAATTCCCGGCGAAGGCGATTGCTAATTTTTCATCTCTCCGGCCTCCGAAAGATTTTAATGTCTCTAACAACCGATAGTAGTTTTTTCGAACACTCTCTTCAAGATAGTTTTTCGTGTATTTTTATTTAAAACATTCTATCTAAATCTTATCGTTATTTATCTTATCGTTACTTTGCAGCTCTAAATTTAAATTTAGGTAGCAACATGCCTCATTCTAACGACCTGGGTTAGGCTATAGAAGTTTCAAAGAGTATCTCATTAGCACAACATCAACTAAATTAACAAAACAATTAAATAATGAAATCCGGAGTTATATTTTTGACCGCAGCTTGGGTTACAGAATTTAATGCAAATTGCAGAGTTGCTAGTTTGTGCGGAATTCCAGCAAGTGGATTAAAGCCACTAATGATTACAACGTAATTGTGTAACTAATTAGATATCTGAAAAATGTCATGGTTCTAATCACAGAAGGTTGTTTTAATATAAAGTTACCAGGGGGTTAGCACTTCATAGCCAGAAAACAATGCAAGGAATAATTTATGTAGCGAAAGATAGGAAAAGCAGAGAAACACAAATTTGACTGTTATGAAATTAGCAGGATTGTCACAGATTAAATAGTAGATTCTATATGGTTCCTCTGATCACTTTTACTATACAAAGGGCCATTTTTGGCTTATCCATGGTTTTTAGTCATTCGTGGAAATCTCCTCATTAATTAGCAGGTACGATCGGGATTTCAATTTGCGTAAGTTTACAATTGACTAATACTCTTCTCAGTTCATATTGTGCGAAAATGGTTTCTTCTTTGGACTCCTAATACGTTAAATTTCGATGTGTGACTCAAAGAGATTCTAAAAATGGCGAAGATCTTGAATAGAAAGTTTAAAAAAGTTAACGATGTTAACGAGTTTTAAAAAGTGATGTTAAAAAGTTAACGATTTTAAAAATATGATTTTTAAAAGTTATGCTTGATTAAAAGTGGATGAAAATTTTCAAATAATATGGAATTTTAAATGAAAAGAGTTTTTAATACTTTTTCATTTTTTCCTTCTATATAATATCACAAATATAGATTAGCTGTAATGAGGAAGAAATATTCTGATAAATAACTACTGACTTAGAGTTATCAGCACTGAATGTGAATAATTAATATATTCCGATGCAAACATATTAGGATACACCAACTTAATAAATATTTTACTTAAATTTATCATTTTATAATGTAGTATCGCATTTTTTACGTATATTTCTGTGATTCTATATTATTAAGAACACATATAAAACTGTATTTTGTTTATATAACATATCAATGTTTTATATTTTAAGATATTTTTGAAGAAACACCATACTATTGTAAAATGTTTCAAACTTTTTGAAACCTAACATCAAAACTTTTTATCTGAACTTTATGGAAATGTATATGAGTACATATCCACAATTTGAAAAGGTTTAAGAAGAGCTTGATTTATAGTATTAGATATTGTAATTATGATCATTATTTTTCTTTGCACGAACAGACAATATTTTACTCCTAATATGTAACATATAGTTCAGCTTTTCATATGTAAATATTATATAAAATAGCTCTAGAGAATATCTACTTTCGTTCTGAATTTTCGAATGGCACATGATGTGGGAAAAATTGATAGGATTCATTACCTGATAATCTCAAAATATAGTTTAGTACTGCGACCCACGTTGTAAGTCTTCCTACAACAGATATTGAAAGTGTCGTTCATGGACTTGAAGATATACCTAACATGCATCTTCATACTATCTCGGAGCTTTTACAAACTGTCATTACGAAAGAGAAAAAGGGCTGTCACATCAAAAATTCTGTTCATACCTGCGGTGAATTCTGTTACACAGTAACTTCCAATATATTCGGTGTATATAAGCCAGATATCACTTGGCACATGCAGATTTCACCTTACTACAAATGTGAAAAATACTCCGAGAATTTGCATTATGCAATATGCGGAAGGAAAAGCAAATTGTTCTAATGAACAATAACGCGCTTGCAAAACCTATTCAGTTGCATCGCTAAGCCAGTGAGCAAAGACTCGAACTTGCTTATTTAGAAGCAATACTAAATAACGAAAAAAATCCTCTTTGAAATTATGCGTCACATATGAACAAATGTAATGTTCATATGTGACGCATTGTTACTTACCAAGGAAAGAATATGGTTACTAAGAATATTATTGATTAAACAGTTTTAATACAGATTCTTCTTAAAGCAGAGATATTGGATGTAACAGTCGGATTTGTAGTATATTTTAGCTTTATAAATGGACCCAAATATTTTTTCTTTTAGAAATTGTTATAAAATGACAGCGCATTTTAAAATTTGTACATTAAAATGTTTCAAAACAATACGGAATTAGAATTCTAATTTTTCCTTATCCACTATTAATCAGGAACATATAATTGGGAACTGTGTTTTAAATTCGCAAAACTTGTCCTTTTCACATTGACAACTTATTTATTCGTTTCATAACAGAAGTTGAATGCATTTTAAATCATTGTAATTGAACGGAAATAAGGAAAGATCTTTCTGTGATGCATTTTGAATAATATAAAATAATTAAATTAACATAATAATACAGAAATCAAACATACTTACAGAGCGCTTGATGCCTTCACTAGTTGAGCTTGAGTATGCCGGAGCTAACTTCTGAAGATAATCATTCTCGTGAGCGGTCAATACTATGCGCGTGTTTCGAGTCGTCCAAGAGAGCTCGCAGTTCAAACAACTTATTTTTCTGTATTTTCTGTCATGATATTCCAATCGATATGTCGCTTTTATTGAAGCAGAATGACTTTTCCTGTTCTACACATTAAGAATTCTGTCACTTTCATGTCATTTTCGAAGTAGCTACTTGCATGTCATTTCAAAGGCGGAAACTTCTGAGTTTAATAAGTTAATAGAGCAACAATAGAGTTCCTATAAATTTGTTTGGTACTTTTTCATACACCTTTCATTGGATTTCTGGAAATTATTTTAAATTATATTCATTTTCAGACTCGAAGAAGCGAATTAATACTATGGCAAGCCCAATTAATATATACCTTTCTCTAAGTACATTTATTAATTATGCATATATGGTTGCATGACTTTCAATTTGCGTTGTATTGATATGAGTTTATGTGTTTTCAATAATAAATGGGACGAATAAAGGTGTTTAAGGTGATGAAATTAATAGCATTGTAACACCTGCTGTGGGTTCCAAATAACTTAGATTTGTCAATTACCATAAAAATAAGGTGTTACATTCATTTGATCTGTGCTGGGAATTATGACTACCACTTTATCTAACCATCAAACTGTAAGGATCTTAAGTTTTACTAACATTTATTTTATTTTAAATCTTTACTATCACTTCTTATTTTTTACTTCTGGCCCGAATAAAAAGCTTTAACTTATTTATGCAAA